AAACAAACAAACAAAAAAACAAAAACAAACACAGTCTCTAGCTAAAAATTTCCTAGTTAACTTTAAGAAACTGTATATATTGTATAATATATATATTAAATAACGTCCACAAGTTTTTTTTTCGAAGAATAACCGACTTTATATGGAAATCTCATAGTCTTTCCCAACCCACAGCATGTCGAAAAAGGGAATGTTTAACTTAGGAGAACGATTAAATGTTATAATCAAAAGTTTTGTTAACAACACAAGGCACTCTGTCTCGCCGAGATATATCTGCCAGTAAATTCAAGTTGATGCCTTCAACAGTTTTTGAGATAATTATGAGTTTAACAAAATGTAAAAATGAAAAAAAAAGGGGGGGACTTTCTAAAAGTATGATAGCTATGATAGCAAGAAATATGTATCTTTCTGCCTCGCCAAGCTATATGAACATGCAAAGTTTGATTTCGATACCTTTCTTTAAGTTTTAAAATTTTCAACGGGCAAATACTGAAAATTATGAAAGCCAGAATTATGAATACATGATTTTTCACACTTTTCTCTGTCTCACCATGACCTGTCTATAGATACAAGTTTTATACCATATTGGAGATAAGGACAGTATAAAATAAACGTGGCGGGACGTTACATTGCGTGTTCCCAATAAAGCGTCCACAATAAGTCATTGGGTTAAAACTTAAAAATTATCGAGCGTCTGAAACAAGTGTGAAAAGCTTGTATTCCGAAAATGTCTGAATAATTACATAGACAATAACGAAGAAAACCAAATCACCAGTGTTTAGAAATTTTGCATTTGCTAAACTGTACTACTTTCCACTCAGAAAGGACGCTGTTCTAAACTGGCTCCGAAAACTTGACAAATATGTATTTCTGATGCTCTTGCAACTGTTTTGTAGTTGAAACCATTCGACAGCACGTCCTTAATTCCTACAGGTAGCTTTACTAGAATTAAAATTAAAAACATTAAAAGTATGTGTTATCTCAATTGAAATAAAATACATATACATACAAAATGAAATACAAAAAATCCCTTAATACATAACTGTATACAAAAGTTTATATACAAATAACATGTACTCTGTACTTGGTAGGTGTCCTAAGTTATTGATACTGAACAAGTGAATAAAGTTTCAACATTATATCATAACTGGTTCATGGGACCATATTTCATAAACCTTCTGACAAAACATTTAAGCTTTAAAAATGGGCATAAGTATGTCAAATTGTGAGCCACTCATACGAAACTTGGTCATTGACCTTAGATGTCAACACTTTAATATGTGTTTTAAGTTTCAAAGGAATCACTAAAATAGTGTTTGAGAAACCATTTTTCATGAAAATTCTAAACCATAAATTCAAAGTCGAAAAAGAGGCATAATTTGATAACAATGCAATTCAGAGATTTATAACTTAGAGCGTGTTTTTAACAAGTTTCAAAGCTGTATGATTTATTGGTTTTGAAATACCATGTTTCATGAAACTTCTTAACTACAAATTTCTATGTCAAAATAAGGCATATAATTTGGTCTATATTCAGTATTAGATGGACGAAGAATGAACTACGGGTTGAACCGATTGAAACTGCAGCAAACAACAATTCGAGACTGGTTTGGATTTAAAACTGGAACCCATATAAAAAATAAAGTGTTTGATTCATACGCTGTATGTCAATTTGAGATTATATATCCCTGTTCCGGAAATCAAAATAAAAAATGGATACCCAATGCAATGAAATACAAGCAAAGTATTTTCTTTTCTTAATCAATTAAAAAGGCTTATATAAGAATAACATTCTCTTCTTGCATATGAGCCCACATATATTGTGTTTTAAATAAGTCTCCAGGAAACTTAGGTAAATGAACTTACCTCGTCTGAATTGTTGTCATATTCTGTCATATTTTCCTTTGAAATTATGAGGCAAGCACGTGGAACAATAACAAAATCCATAAGTCAAAAATCAAAAGTCATAAATCAGAAGTCATAAGAAAATAGTAAAATAAATCTATAAGTCGAAACTCAAAAGTGACCCTCCAAGGCTTCCATAGATACACTTTATAGCGGGTAACTTTAATTTGAAATCGATCAAACGTTTTTCTTTTCTTCAAAAGTGAAACTTATTCAGCCATAAAATGTAATCATTTTCGCTTGCAGTGAAATCCATATAGGTATATCATGCTCGAATTTGATACTTGAAAGTTCTTACAATTGCAATACAGCAAAAATATTTTGAGTTCTCAAAAAGAAGATGTATGTTAATTTTAAACTCTACAAACTATATGTCATATTTTTTGTCAGATGTGAATGTCATATGGCGACTACACAGCTTTATTTTAGAAGGAAGACCTCAATTGTCAAATGTCAAGTGCATAAGTTCAAGCCCGAACGTGCACCTAAGACAAAACTCCAAATTCACTCCTAAAAGTTTCAGAAAATGTTACACAGTATGCAATATGATTTAAGTATCTTAGTTAGGAGACCTTTCTATTGAAAATGTTGTCAAACTTAAATCGTATACCCGTACATGCACAGTGCGTTAAGTATTAGTTACCCGCACTCTGATTACCAGACTGTCTGTCGGGGATAAAAATACAACATACTGATTGTTTTCCTGGAAAGGAACAAAGATAGAAAAGTCATGTTCAGTTTCTATCTTTGCCAATGATACAAGAGAGAAAGAACACCTAAACACTCATTTCGTACAAATTAGAAAGCCTCGCGACGGCTATTTTACGTTTGAGCGCAATCACTATTTTCACGTGCAAATTATTTAAGTAAACTTATTGACGTTATCTCAGTACGTTTGTAAAACATTGTGCATTGTAAAGTTACTAGCAATCAAATGACAACGTGAATGTTTTTTCCCATAAAAATCTCAATCACTTTTACCTTATATTAAATCCAATTTTCCCCAAATTTATCTTTCTAGTCAAAATTATTATTCAGATCAATAACAACAAATGAACAAGTCATAAATTATGTTTGTTCTGATTAGCAAATTAAACTTTTTTGACAAATTCTAAAATTTGAAACTTGCAGAAACCACTTTCTTTTTCATCAGACGTACCCATTTTTTTATTTGATTAATGAGGAGAAGTCGTCTATTCTAATAATCACGCCGGGTATTGATATAAATATCGTTTAACTTTTAAAATACTAAATGACGAGATTGAAGCGCATACCGTTTGTGATTCATTGAGTTTTTCTTAAGGTAGCTCGCTACTTTTTCGACCGAAATTTGACAATATCTCAGATCTTGATGATTTCTGGTATACAGACATGTAGATATGTAAGCTTTACTTCTGCAACATTATTTTATAAATAAACAGCGTTACTATGACGTCAAAGCGCCCTCTATCGGCGGCGGCGAAATTGCGTCTTTTTTTATTAATAAACCGGTCTGTTATTATCAATTTTCATCCGATTTCCTTCATTTTAATTTTATAATGTTCAGTAAATGTATGTCTTTGTAACGATGTCTTTCTTGAACATTTGCTTAATACTCTGCGATTCTACGTTATTTTCCCTCACGTTCTGACGTCCATATTTGATGCAAATATCGCGCGATATCGCAATAAAGATTTTTCGTTTAATATAGAATAGCTAGATACCTTCCTCACATAAAATAATTGAAAGTCTCTGGTGGGATTCGAACCCATTGCGGTGAGGGACAAGACGTCTGAACCTGTCAGAGACGGATGGACAAGTCAAGTTTTTTTCAAACCAGATTTGCTTGAAGCTTACTGGCACACTCATATTATGGAGTCTAAGCATATGGATATGGATGGACCTGCGTAATTTAGAAACGACAATTTTCAACTCGACGAAACTGTATTTTCTTATGATATTGAATATTGTATGAGTGCTAATTTCAAGAGTGTTAAAGTTTTTAACTTAAATTATATCATTTTTGATATCGATCTGTAAAATTAGAATTTATGCAAAACACACAATAAAAAACAAAAATAAATTTCCAGATTATTATTTTTGGTCCACAGAAAGACAAATACGTGTACAGTACAGACATAAAATCATCTTTTGTCATGTAACAGCTTTTACAACTGTACATCCGATCAATCCTATAAACGGAGCCATCTGTTACCACCTCGTGTCAATAATCCTCTCTTTGTTAACTGTTATTGAGCATAATCTAACCCGACTATTAAACAACAGGTCAAATGGAAACGAATTATAAGGTTTTATTATTTTGTCCTAGCATGCCAAAGCGTAAAAGTTTAATACTCTTCAAAGCACCAAAAACAGTTATAATATACTGCTAAAGTATATTTACCTACTATGTTAAAATCTTCTCTTTAATATTACAAGCGAAGGTTGGTTATATGTTAATATCAAAAAAAAAAAAAAAAAAAAAAAAAAAAAAAAAAAAAAAAAAAAAAAAAACATATTAGATATCTCAAATGTCTTTTAAATAAGTATCTAGGTTTAATGAATTTAACATTATTTAGAATCTTTAAATCTGAGACAACTTATTTTCACTCTATCACCCCCAGCCTTTCAAAGAACCAAAATAAGTTATAACATTGCACATATTATAATTTTGATCATAAAAATATAACAAATATTACCTGGCTTAATGTCCTGTATAAGATACCCACAATGTGTCAAAGTTTTTTTTGAGATATGTATAATTTTTGTTTGTTTGTTTATTCTACGATTATTGTACTGATGCTATTTGAGTTGTGTAATTGTTTCGTTTAGTCTTTTAATAATAACTTTAAATATTCTGAGCAGAGGAAATAAATACATAAATGAATAACATGATTTTAGAACTTGATTGATCTGCCGATGCATAGACAATATATACCTGGACAAGAACTAAATAGTTATTTTATTTTGCCTGACTTTTAATGTCCACTTACCTAAACGTGTACAGAACGTCTAGTTCCACGACAGTGATCAATATTTACATTTTTTATTATATTACAAAAAAAGAAAAAACAACATGTAACTCTATCTTTAGAATTCTGTTGATTTCATCACTAAAACCCTACTAGGCTAAACTGAACTAAAATCAAAATGAAGTTTTATAAAAATCTGATTGTTTTTATCAACGGGTTTTTGATACAGTGTTGTTTGTGCAGTCTGTACTCGTCTTCGTTTGAAATTTCAAGGCTTTTAGAAACAGAAAAGAAAATCCTTGACAAGTTGGACGGATTTTTCGTAAGGCAAGAAAAGAATGGATTAACATTCGACAGTAACGTTAAAGAGTAAGTTTTTGATCAGTGTTTTTGCTTTTAATTATATATGTTTTGAATTAACAATTGAATTTTTTTTTCTGTAAAGTTTTGAATTCTTCTTTTAATGGTTTCTTTACTTAGTTTCGTCAGATTTGAATTTCAAACGCCGATTTGTCCACGAGAACACCCAAACACATCTAAACAGAGTCAGTAAGAATGTATGAGTTAGCAGAGTAGACCAATATTAACTATAATTTAGATTCTGAAATATTTAAGTTGGACACAAAAAATTATACAGTCGGCTTTTTTTTCTTCACGTTTTAAATTTTTCAATATTTCAAATATTTTTTTAATATATTTTTTTAATTTATTTGATATATGTCAAATTTCATTTTTGAAATAAGTTTCTGATTATATTGGCAGATTCGTACACAGCGCACAGAGGGAAAACAGCGAGTTCTCAAAAACCGAGAATCCTATTTCCGTGTTTCACTTACTTACTCGTACTGTACATGAGTGGGAGGAGTTAACAAAGAACCTATCGTGTGACGAGGAGCAGGAAAAATGCCCTATACTAACTGGTGCTGATAGTAAGTTTATACTCACCTGAGATTTATACTCATTGATGCCAATAGCAAGAATTTTATACTCACTGATGCCATAAGTAAGAAGTTTTATAATCACTGATGCCAATAGTAGGAAGTTTTATTCTTATTGATGCCAATAGTGAGAAGATTTATACTCATCGATGCCAATAGTCAGAAGTTTTATGCTCACTGATGCCAATAGTAAGAAGTTTTATGCTCACTGATGCCAATGGTAAGAAGTTTTATAGTCACTGATGCCAATAGTGAGAAGTTTTATACTCACTTATATCAGTAGTTAGAAGTGTTATACTCACTGATGCCAAAGTAGGAAGTTTTATACTCACTGGTTTTGATAATAAGCTTTATGCTCACTGGTGCCAATAGTTGAAAGTTTTATAATCACTGGTTTTGATAGTAAGCTTTATACGCACTGGTGCCAATAGTAGGAAGTTTTATACTCACTGGTGTTGATAGTAAGCTTTTTACTCACTGGTGGCAATAGTTGAAAGTTTTATACTCACTGGTGTTGATAATAAGCTTTATACTCACTGGTGCCAATAGTAGGAAGTTTTAAAGTCACTGGTGTTGATAAAAGCTTTATACTCACTGGTTCCAATGGTAGGAAGTTTTATACTCACTGTTTTTTTTTGTTGTTGTTTTTTTGTTAATAACCTTTATACTCACTGGCGCCAATAATAGGAAGTTATATACTCACTGGTGTTGATAGTAAGCTTTTTACTCACTGGTTCCAATAGTAAGAAGATTTATACTCACTGATGCCAATAGTAAAGAGTTTTATGCTCACTGATGCCAATAGTAAGAAGTTTTATAGTCATTGATGCCAATAGTAAGAAGTTTTACACTCATTGATGCCAATAGTAAGAAGTTTTATACTCACTGATGCTAAAATTACGAAATCTTATACTTACTATGGCAAAAAGTCAGAAGATTTATACTCAATGATGCCAATAGTGAGAAGTTTTGTACTCACTTATATCAGTTGTAAGAAGTGTTATACTCACTGATGCCAAAGTAGGAAGTTTTATACTCGCTGGTGCCAATAGTAGGAAGTTTTATACTCACTGGTTTTGATAGTAAGATTTTTACTCACTGGTGCCAAAAGTAGGAAGTTTTATGCTCACTGGTGTTGTTAATAAGCTTTATACTCTCTGGTTTTGATAATAAGCTTTATACTCACTGGTGCCAATAGTAGGAAGTTTTATACTCACTGGTGTTGATAGTAAGCTTTATACTCACATTTTAATTATTGAATTTTATCGATTGTACTCATTTGTGCTCTCTATCTTTGATAACCATTAGTTACATATTGTATAGTTTAATCAAAGGGAAGTAACTCGTAAAGAAATAAAGAAAATAGCAGTAAATAATTATTGCCCTTCGTGACACCTATAAATGATAAATAATCCAATATATTACAAACAAGACAAAATTCATGACACTGATTATTATAGACTTAATAAATAGTGTTGTTTTGTAACTAAGAAAAAGATCATATAAAGCATTCATATTTCTCTTCGAAACGACTCTAACAGATCATATTTTTTCCTCAGCTAAGAGTAAATAAATATTTTAAATATCATCCTCTCTATATAAATAAGTACTATATCCATGCTTTTTGTTTTCTTGTTTGTAGTTATAAATGTAAATAAAAGACGTGAATCCACGATGTGGCCCACCGGAAGTGACGTCAGTGAAGCTGCTAAAGCCATTTTGAACGTTTGGACATTTTATGATCTAGACCTAGAGAAAATTATAAAAGGTAACCTCTTTGAAATATCTGAGCGTCCTCTCTCGGCAGACAACATGTTTCTAATAGCAAATGTCGCAAGGGATTCTGGGATGACATATGAAGCAATCACGTGGTTTGAATATCTGCTGCAACGACTTGAAACTCTCGGATCCTTTACATTCAAAACATCAGCATTATATAGAAGACTGGCAACAGCTTACAAAGAGGTTGTTAAATTTCTTTTTCCGTTTTTTATCAAGTTTTTTTCTTTCGGTGAATAGAAATAAAAATACTTGTACGAGGTTATGTCAGTATGTAGATCTAATGCAATATCACTGCGGTATACCGTACCCCGGATATTGCTCGATATTATGAGGACTTTCATCCCATTTCGCGACTTTGAACGGGGAACGAAGGTAAGTTCAGCGACGATATTTTCCAAACCTATGGTTATTTCATTTATCTCAACGGGTTTTATATATGTAGAGGTATTTTTGTAGCTCTAAAAGACATAAAAGTATTACAGGTATTAAACTACCCCTAAACGATCCGCTGCTCACTAGAAAATACTGACTGTGATACTGTAGAATCGTTAGAAATTAATATATTACCAATATAAAAAAAAATTGAATCGAGCATTTTTTTATTCACATTCCAAGTATACTTTGTCCAAATTTCAGGCAAAAAGTGTGAAAGTACAAAAAGATATAGGCCAAAAAAGATACAAGAAAGTGTACCGAGTATTGATTTTAAGTGTACAGAGTATTGATTTTAAGTGTACAGAGTATTGCAAAATAGCTAAACTTGAGTGTACAGTGTATTGCAAAACAGAATGAGCACATTAGTATGGAAAATCGATATTTTTGTCTAATTTTTACGTCTGTTTATCGATTCGTTTATTGGCACGAGGGCTTATGCCGTCCAAGCATGTCGGTATTGTCTTAACCTTTTACTGCATGAGCATATTGCGAAAAATGGCTGTTTTCATTGAATTTTAAGCCTCCTGTTACAAGTTCAAACTGCTATAAAATTATAAAAAAAATGCTTCAATACTGATCAAACTGAGTACAAATGTTGGCTGGACCATAGCCTGTGCAATAGCATGCTCAATTTTAAATTTCCAGTTACCATGGCAACGGGGGACGTCTCAAAATTGCTAAAATCTCTATTTTGCGTTGTTTTTTCCCATCAAAACCGATTTCAAGGTGCAGCAACTTCTCAATTGATTGAGATAAAGCCTAAGGCATTTCGGCGTTGATTACACGGTACCTTTAAATCGCCATGAGGCCATTTTAGCCCCCCCCCCCCCACAAGTCCCAAATCTTCTCGGCGACTAGAGGGGCTACTGTCCCACTTCAAACCCCCAAACAGAAGGGGACACATCCCCGCCTGCGACACCCCCTTGATGTTCCTTTTTTAACGGGGTGGCGCCGAAAAGTGATCATGCACTCTTTTGAACAACATTTCTCAAACGATAAAACAGAGTTTGGGGCCTAAATAGCGCATGTTTTACACTATTTGAGGCCTCAAAAGGGGTGGGGTATAAAGCCTTCAAAACACGCCTTTATGTGGTAAAAGGTTAATATAAGGAACATAACCTTTTTATTGCATCTGGTTATGGATTTTTGGCATAATAGGAAGTCGGTTGATATTACATATTGGCACACTTGCTCAATACCGTCTAATATTGACAATCTTGAGGCAGCATTAATACATTTTGGATGCATTTTTTACTATGTAAAGTAAGATATGCAATAATTATTAACAAATTCTTGAAAGGTTGATCCTTCGATAGCAACGAGAACTTAGTAAACACAAAAAATTGCTGAATTCGTTCGACTGAGATTTTTCATAAGCAGGAATGAAAGTCTGGATTTTTCGCTGATGTTTCCAGTAAAGTACCCCCGAACTCTGCATATTCTGCACCTATAGTGTAAATAAGTATACACAATAAGAAATATTTAAGATTAAATGTGGTAAATACTCTGAGTTTACTCTATATTGATAACCAATACTCGTTACACTAAAAAGCAATACTCGTGACACCGGCGGGCAACTCCAACGCAATACTCGGTACACTGACACGTGTATTTATGCTCAAAATGCACTGTCATCTGAGGTTCTATTGTTGATTGAACATTTACAACATAAAAAATATCATCATTATCACATTTCACTCGATTCAAATTTTTCTTTTAAGGAAGTATATGCACAAAAACACCTAATTTGACTGATCCGAGCTCATTTATCACGTGAGCAAAGAGACGAATTTTACCTCCTTAAATACATTTCAAAGCTATATCTCAACATTTTTGGGTTATCAGTAACTAGAGAATTATTGAAGTATTTGTTTTTCTATAAAATCTATAACAAACCAATTCAAAATGACTAAATATCGTCATTGAACTAACCTCCTATCTTCGTTCAAAGTCGCGAAATGGGATGAAAGTCCTCATAATATTGAGCAATATCCGGGGTACGGTATACCGCAGTGAATATGGTCAATAATATTAATTTATGTAAAGTTGTTGAAGATGAATTTCATTATTTATTTCAGTATAGAAAACTTAAATCATAATATATATTCAGAATATTTTTAAAGTAACCAAACATATTTAAATTTACTTACCTTTTGTCAACGGATTGATTTTGTCAATTGTTATCTTCCTGCTCTTGTAACTTATGTAATCTTACATTTTTTAGAATGGAATGCTTACTAAAGCCATCGGTTTGCTTCAAGAATATTTAAACATGTGTAAGTTGATTATACCATTCTTTATTGTTATTCAAAAATTTATTTCACATATTGAGATTAGTATTAGCACATACATTTTTCATTAGTAGTTTAATTATTAAATTGTAACTTATTATAGCGGCACTAATGGTTTGAATATATCATCAGTGCAGAAGCAGTCTAGCCAGCAAATACTTTCATCTTGTACAGATTCTAGATGTATAACTATTGGCAGCTCAACTTCAAATTTTCTTTTTGTTTTGTTTTGTTGGGTTTTGTGTCGCAACAACAAAGCAAAGGTCATATGGCAATTTTCCAGCTATACTGCTGGAGGAAGACCTCAGGTGCCCTTCTGTGCATTATTTAAAGCACGAACGGCCACCTGAGCAGAACCACCGACTTTCGAACCGTAAAGTAGCTAGATAGCTTTCTCTTATCATGACATGTCAGAATCTAAAGTCCCTGTTAGGATTTGAACCAGCAGCGGTGAGGGGCAGTGTTAGGGTAAACATCATTTGAACTGCTTGCTAAATTATCACCAATTGGACATTTGATATAGATGAACACAATCTCTTAAACTTAAAAACAATGGAAAAGATTATCTTCCCTTTTCAAGTGTTTATTCAGCTTATTATATTGAAAATTAATAAAAACTTATTGCATTTAGATCCTAACGAAAGTGGTGTTGCGAGAGATTATAGCTATTTCAAGAGTAGCGCCTCAAAAGATGACGTCAAAGAGGTCGTGCGTTTCGCAGCAGACGACAAGTCCAAACTGACGAAGAGTAGACAAGCGTTTGAGGGTCTTTGTAGATCTTCATTACAAGTGTGATTTTGTTAATATTGCTTCAGAATTCTAAATAATAATTCTAACATTGCTCTTAACCATTATGGACTTTTAGATGTTAAGGATTTAATACAAAAGCAAAATTTCATTCAAGTATTGAAAGTATTGTGACATTCAAAAACGCCTTATTGGTGCCAATTGTAACGAAATGAATACTTAAATATGACCCTTTAGCAGATTTAGACATTTACTGTTTATCTATATAAATATTTTCTTGATATATTAAGATCTAGTCAACATAAATGAAAATAATAACATAGCAAAGCAAACCCCTAAAAAAACAAACAACAAAACAAAACAACAAAAACAAACAAGAGGAAAAAAACCCGAAAGAAAATAAACACCACCAATAAATACCACCAACAACAAAACAACAATAACAACAATAATATCAACAAAACAACAACAACAACACCAATCTCTCTATTCTACATATAATCATAAAGATATTTCTTTCAGACTAGGAACTATTTAGGAACATTACAATGTTATATGCTGCCATTATATAACTGCTATGGACTGGCAAAAGTGGAGATGATTTCAAAATGTCCAAATATCCAGATTTTGTATGACGTCATGACATCTAATGAGTCGGATGAAATTATTTCTTACGGAGAAAAAGCGGTAATTTTCTGTTTTGAAAGAAAAGATTCGTTCATTTTATGTGACCATTTAATGTCACATAACTGTAACCCAAAGCCAATGTGTGTTAAAGAATTAAACGCAAGATATGACCATTCTAAAGTATTGAAGTTAAAACGTACAAACGTATATAATAAATACCATAAGCAATGAATTCAAATTTTGACTGTCCGAGTAATGGTGTTATAATGCTTATGGTTACTGATTACTTTTAATTGCGGAAAAAGACATCACTTGTCTTTTCGCAGACCAGTTTAGTTTAAACATATACGTTATTATCACGGGTGTTGAAAGGTAACGTAACAACTCTTTTCTTATTGATAGAAATAGAATATATAAGCTCATTAATCAAACTTAATGCAAACTTTAAACAGTCATTGCATCGATAGAATTCTTTTACTGCATTTTTCGTTACAGTTTGGCAGTTTTCATGAATTGTTCCCGTTCAGAACCAAGTCTTTAGTATCAGATCATGGAGCCAGGAGGTAATTCTTACAGAGTTCATATATTACATAGATTTAAACCATATTGTTGTTAAAAATGTATAGGAAAATACCAGGTATAGAATACATAGTATACAGACAATGGTAGTATATAAGTTGTTTTAAAGATATATCGTCCGTTCATGTGTTTTGACGCTCATCTATTTTGACGCCATTTTTGTTTTGACCTAACAAATGACGAAAACGACCTCGCATGACGTCATAATTTGCTGACTGCACTGCAAGCATGTACTTACAACGTATAACTAAAACATGTGGAAAGACAGAGACATTTCACTGAAAATACTTCACCTTTATCAAATTTACTGTATTTTTTTCATCTTTTTACTAATGCAAATTCAATCGATGTTTATGCAAGCCATAATTTTGCAAATAAAGCCTTTGAAAAATCTTGACCTGCCCTTTTCTGTTTCTATCTTCCATTTTAAATGTCTTATGAGTGTCATGTGACCAAAACTTTGCAAAGTGTCCTTAATATTCACTGTAGCATAAGGTGTACAGCTTATATTGTTTGAAAACGTTAATTGGTTTTTAATTGATACTGAGTAAAATTCATAATGGGTTAACTATTGTATATAAAGTTTAAAAAAGAAAGAAAAAAATCATTTTTTCAAATCAACATATACATATCTTTACAACATCTTTCATTTTAGATATATTTTTCAGCCCTGTAAGCCAAATACAGATGCTATTCATCAAGATTAATGGTAAATACATTCAAAGTGAAAGAGACAGGTGCACCTATTAAGACCACTGCTAGGGTGTATGGCATTCCTAAATAATGGACAGTTTTATATGAAATAAAACATAATTTTAAGTTTTCACGATGTTGTTTCATTGCAGGTTTGCTCATTAAAAATATTCTTTTGCTGTTCATATTACATAACAGTGAAATATCCTTTTAAAATAACCACCCAATGAAAAGGCGTCATTTCATATGACTGTAAACAGCAATGGATGCCTCCACGGTCTGTTTACTCAAGTACAAAACTTAACTGATTTTGATTTTTTAACAAACATAAAAATGGTTTGCAGTGATAAACAACATGCCATAGTAACTTTATATTGTATATTATTTAATGATCAAGTTCAATATAAAAAATTGCACTAGTTAAACAACTTAAGGGCGTCAAAACTAATGACTCTAGGATACTATGCTCAAATTTGATATCAGAAAATATTGATAATTGCTACACAGTCTTATTGTTAATATGAAATAAACATGTTTTGACTTCACACAAAGTTTATATGTCATGTTTAAAACTCTACACACATGTGGTCACAATATGAATATATAGTGTCGTTAAAAAAACTGGCAGTTTTTTTAAAACCCCTGTCACACTAAGACGGCGTTCTCACGGCGTCCAAAGAAAATTCAGAACGCCGAGGTGAGCGCAGTAAGATCGCAAACATCGCCACAGCATCGTAGTGGCATCGCATAGAACGCCGACCAACGGCGCGCATTTTGAACATGCTCAAAACAAACGCCGTCGCTCGGCGTTCTAAAATGAGCGAAGTAGCATCGCAGTAAGGACGCCGTAGCAACTCAGTAGCATCTCCTACAACGCAACAGGAGCGCTGCGAAAGCGCAAAAGGAACGCAGAATGAACGCCGTGGTTATCCACGGCGCTTGTACGGAGACTGTGCGACGTCTTTACCGCGCTTAAACTGCGTGTGTACGGCGCTTTCACGGATGTTTACGATTTCAACGCAGTGTGAGCCCCGCGAGAGCGTCGTATGAGCGCCGTAAATGCGCAGTAAAAGCGCAAAGAACGTCATAGAAGCGCAGTCCGAACGTAGACAATCGCCAACTAAAACGCCATCGAAGCTCCGTAGCATCGCCATGATCGCCGTGAGCACGCCGTGAAGACGCCGTGCAGTCTTCATGACATCAACAATATTACATTTTTTATTGCGACCTCGCGGCGCTTTGTTAAATTTAACAACGCCGTGCGAACGCAGTGAAATCGCATTCTAGTGTGACAGGGCCTTAAGAAAAGACCAACTTTACTTGTCCTGTATTAGAGAACGTGACTTCCAGTATAGTTTATTATTCAGTTTTTATTTAAATTACACATTTTCAGTAAGAATTTCATAGGTTTTGATTAAAATATTTTACTCAAAGATGAGCATAGTATATCTTTAATGTGCAATTTTATTATATACTTATAAATGAAATATTAATTAGATAAAATGCATATTTTCATGTTCTGTATTTTCAATGTAAAAATACTTTTCACATTTTCTTCATTTTCACTTGTATTTTGCCGGAATTCTTTCTTCTTAACTCAGACAACACACAAAATTAAAGGGGAAGTCTTTCGAAATGTCAGATCAAAGAAATATATATTATAAATGAAAACTCGAGATTATCGAGGTGCGGGTTTTATTTGCATCACGTGTTATGAAAATTATCATATTTCACTAATGGCTATCGCCACTCTTGAACTATTTATTTGCATACTACTTTATGAAAATAAGTCCCTTATTTCTAGGGAAAAACAACCTTAAATAGGATCTCTATATTTAACTGAAATACAATTAATATCTGGAAAATTAAGCTCCCCCGAGAGAAATGACAACACAATTCTTAGCGAAAATTCAGACTGGTGCGAACATTTATAGGATGATATAAAATATATTCATATAAATTTGATTCAGCGGACCAATGTGTGAATGGAACCAAAACTTTCCGTTGATAGTAAATCTAACTCGGAGACTGGAACAAATGACAAGATATCATATGTATCCCGTGAGTGACGTCTCCAGCAGCGAATGTTATACGGTAAGTTATACTTTAATAACAAATACATGTTGATGGTACATGATTCTACATATTAATATACCTCTTGTTCTTTCTTTACGCCCGAAAGAATTTTGGCGAACTGGTTGTCAGTCCGTCCGTCCGTCTGTCCGCTCTCACGGACAGAAATAATGTAACTAGAGGGACAATAGATAACTGTTCTTTCTCTTTGATGTCATTCATACTTTTTATAAAGACAGAGTTGGACTTCCTAAGATAAAAATTACACCCCGCCCATGTTTACACTTAGATGGGGCATAATTTATGTCACTGCTAACAGTGTTCAGAATGTTCAATTTACACGGACGGTCTGGTTCATTAAGGCTGAAAGAACTGATTCAAAATAATACTACATGTGCCTGTAAAATTAATTACAAAACAATACACATTAATTCCACATGCCAGATGCATAGTGTACTGATATTTACATTTTATCTCAAGAAGGTATCTCTGTAAAACAAGTTTTGACATTTTGTTTGCCTGCAGTAAGTGTAAACAAATGTATTCCTGTTATTTTAACCTGTTCCTAATGCATTTCTTTTTTTTCTCAAAGGCAAATTATGCCTCAAAAATGAAAAAAAAATGTTTTCTTACTTTAGATAGGGTATCATGAGTTTTATATCGTTTAAATAATGGTTTTAGAGCATGTTTGATCTTCAGCACGTGAAATGGTAGCGCTAAGTGTGAAATTATTTGTCATAAAAGTACCAGAATGTTAACAAAGTAGTATTTTGACTGCCATACAAAATTACTAAACTAATTGCCAAAACGTAACAAGAGCAAAAGTTGGCTCAGATAAGCGGCCAATTTGTAACTTTTTGGAAACTATATCAGGACATTAAAATAAAAAGCTTTTGAGAAATGAAAATGAAATCATTTATGAGGCCTAATGGGCCTTTAATGCACTGCACCTTGTCTACCACACTCCTTGCAGCGGTTACTTCCATTGATCAGTACAGTATGCCGAAAAATAAATGGGAGACCACTGCATGAAGATTAAATGTCTACATCTATTTCATGTTTGAACTTTTTTTGTACTTAAAAAAAATACAATCGCCCAGAAAACTGATGAAAAATATTGAATGGGCAGGACTACTAGTATTTTATTGTGTTTTTTTAATTGTTTTATACTGTGTTGAATACCTATAAAGTCCTGAATGTATACATGAAAAGTAAACACACCTGATGTTATGTGGACTTGTAATTTCAACAATGTCTTATGTCTACAATAAATCCTGCAAATAAATGCTTTTATTGCGGTAAGTGAGCCAGATTCAAACGGTTTATTCTCATTTTGTTGGTGATTTATTTTCAACATAGATCAGTAATTTCTTCGTTGTTTATAATACGTTACATATGTATTGGCTATAATATGGTAAGATGGGTGCATTAACTGGCAAAGAACTTTAAATTGCTGGCAAAACTGCATGTGAAGGTACTAAAGTTTGATAAATCGTGTACCTTTATTATGTATGATACATAAAAGTATCAATTTAATAATAATAATAATAATGATAATAATAATCATGATAATAATAATAATAATAATAATAATAATAATAACAACAACAACCCCCCCCCAGAAAACCCAACACAAGTTTATGTATATCTATGCACATATGTACATGTTGTGGTACGTATATAAAGTCTAACAAATGTTCTATTATATTGTCAGATGACAAACGAGGGTCCTGGTGTTATTCATAGACAACTGTTAGATGCCTGGGTAAGAAATAAATACATTCTTTTATTTCATTTGTATTCTGAATTTGTGTTCTGAATAATAAAAAGGTCAGAAAAATTTAGTTCAGCATAGAGCTCTATGACAACAGCTATTATATTTTGATAATTAAAAAAGCTCATCAAAAATGACAAAACATATTATCTGGAAGTAAAATTATCGAGCGAATTTAATCGTCGTTTATTTTTAATTTATGCGTGTTCAACAAATGTTCTTTTTCTATCATAAAGATGACAGTTTCATAAAATTATTTCAGCCTAAGAACCACAACCCATACCCATTTGCTGGCAACAGACTGGCAACTATAATGTTACAGGTAATATACAGAATATAACACCATTTTATTTGACTTAAGCATCACAATGCTATCGTCGTTAAACAAACAAAAACAAATGTTCATATACTAAGTATGACATAAGAAGAAAATACATATATAAAATGAACTAATATTTACTCTATTAGCTGTGAAAGATTATAGTCTTAGTCCGCATATATTATTAGTTATAAAGATTGTTGACAGGTTATATGGCCCTATATTGGAAATATAACCCGAGCCGCTAGGCGATGGTTATATTGCAAACAACCGTTTATATACGGCCATATAACATGTCAGGAATATTTATAACGAATTTATAATACTGCAAACTTCATTTTTAGAGAAAAAAGTAAGATTTCTTTATAAACTGACAGCAGCCGTGTATATAAAACTATATAAACGTCACGATTATCCAATGAAAATTGACGTTACAAACATGCAGTATTATAAAACCAATAATCCAATAGTAACGCCGAATCTGTGCAAAGCTACGATCGAAGTAATATTAAGGGTTTTCTCGTAAAAATTGTCTCAAACACATTTCATTTGATTTTCATTGATTTGCGTTATTGTATTTAAAAGTATTGAGAAAGCAAAAAAAAACCACTTTCATTACTCAAGTCAGTTCATCATTCTGAAAAACAAATACATGTACTATACTGGAAATAATTTAAGAGTGTGTGAAATATAATGTCTACTCTTAACAACCATATGCTCGAATTCATTCTTTTCAATTTGATTTAGTCTAATATACATTAGTTCAATTGTTTACCAATAGTGCTCGTTTTGGTCATAGAATTGAAAAATTCTGCGTTACTATTGTAATATTCCTGAGTAATTTTCGCAATCCTGCGTAATTGTATATACATGTATACGGGAATATGTTATATGATCATGATTTCAATTTCTTGTCCGAATAAAAGACACGTGTTTGTATGAAAAGTTTGCTTTCCATTTGTTAAGAAAAATCTTGCTAGTCTTAATTGTTATATAAATTGCACATAAATCCCCAGTTCAAAAACGTATATCTTTCTCTCAACATTTATTGGCTGATTCATGCACCTGTAGCTTGCAAAAACTTGGCAACCTACAATGTACCCTAAGCGGTTCTTTATATTCTTCGACTTGAAAAAGACATTTATTACTTTAAACGATTATTGGATGTAATAAATAAATTAACAACATATACTACAATTACAGTCAATTATCCTCCATGTAGATGAAACATAACCACCGAACTGATATATCTTACCTGTTGTACAAATTACAACATGTTTCTTGTCTAAAATATTGCATAATCTTTGCGCATAATTAAGAGCACATTTCAGTGGGCTTATTTTCAAATCCTGTTTAAAGTGCGAATAGTGATCTTTAAGAGAGATAACAAGTTTATAGAACAAAATGTTTAATATTATCCAGATATGTTCAATTTACAATCTATCTTACATACACATACCATGGTGGTTGATCACGTAATAATTTGTTTATCATCGCTTTTGGCCTCGCCAATGACCAAGAAGATATTTTCATATTTTGTTTTCGATATATCTTTCAATATAAAAGAAATAAACATAAACCATGTTCTAGGCAAATAATTTCCTTTTCCAATGGTATATATTTTTACATAATGTAGTTCTTGTACTTTCCCAATTATGCTTTCAAAAGTTGTAACACAATGTTATGCATATATTCATCAAAATATTGCCACATAAAAATAATTCTGCAAGCGAAAGCGGGCTTAATTCAAAGAATTACAATTAAAAGTTATATACCTTTGGAATCGGCAAATATTTACCTGGAACATAGTTTATGTTTATCATTAAAATATTGAAATATACTACGAAAAATACCTTTTAAGTCATAGGCGCAGCCATGAGCGGTGACCCAATGTTACTGTGAACAAATGTCAGTGATCAGCCAAAATGAATAAACACCATTTTCAATCTTACTATTTAATGGGCTTATTTAGGGTATATATCGTTTACAAAAAAATGTTTCAGTCCTTCTATAATCATTTTGACATATATAAAAACAATTCAACCTTCTTAGAAATCTACTCGTTCAATAATCTGTCCCTCTTAACCTTACATTTTATTACAATAATCTGTCCCTCTTAACCTTACATTTTATTATAACACATACATCAAGAATACAGTAATGTTCCTGTTAAGATTAATTAGCATGTACTTCTAAAAAGCACTTTAAATTACCACAAAAATGGAAAAGATCACACCTGAGTCTACCTAATAGTGGAGGATTGGTGTTGAGAAAGTGCCAGCAACTTAAATGGCAGTTAGAAGATTAATAATGACATAAATTAATTGTAAATTTCTAAAATTGTAGTTAAATGTTCCCACTAATATATGTCTGGCATTATTTGCATGGATAGAACACACATGTTTACTACAAATGTTGTTTATTATTCCATCTTTTATAAGTTGTCAGATGTACAGTATGGTGGAGCAGTCGTATTTCCGAAGCTTAATCTTACAGTTCCTGTTCAGAAGGTAAATTCAAATTTTTGTTCAGAGGGTAAATTAAAATTTCTGTTCAGAGGGTTAAAATGTTTCTGTTCAGAGGGTTAAATTAAAGTTCCTGTTCACAAGATAAAATCACATGATAAAATCTAAGTTCCTTTTCAAATGGTAAAATTGAATTTCCTGTTCACATCACACATCTTTCAACATCATTCTGTGATATACAAACTTCATAACAATTTGCACGATTGCACAATTACCATTGATTACATGAGTATTACTATTACAGCATCAATAGTAAGTCATTTATACTGGGAAAATTTTCATGCATCTAAAGATACATAATTATTGTCAATAAAGAGAAAATAACTCCGGATCACGACAGTAAAGCCACAATATACATGTATTTACCAAAGCACAGTTCTGCCACCGCATCGTTTTAGGGCAGGCCGTCAAGCAGTATACCCTACTAGTTGCCTATTCGGTAGGTGTCAGAGCAGGGATACAGTGTATTTGACGAGAAAAATACTGGAATTAATACATTATATATTACCTTAGCACAGCTTCACTTAAGTGCAGATAAGGTTATGTCTATAAACAAGAGCACAAAGATGTAGTTATACAAGATATCTCTTGATGCTTGATTGTTTTGTTTTAATATTCCTATTTAGACTGATATCTTACTATTGCTATTGCCTGTTTGGCACTTTAAAAAAACCTTATAATGCAATAATTGCTGAGAATATTCACCTTCATAAGTAGCTAATTTATTATATCATTATAAATGAATTATTGAGAAATATTGATGATATAAAATGCGTATTTTTATTTTCCGTATTTTCAATGTAAAAATTTATTTTCACTGCAGTGAAATATATTATCCGTTTTTTTTTCGCTGGTTTCTTGCCGTACTACTTTCATCTAAATTCAATTTGTACACAAAATTTAACTAAAAGTCTTACAATTATATTGTCAAAAAAAGAGAAAAATGTATACCTATTTTAGCCAGAAAAAATTCTATAAATACAGGATTTATTTTCATTGAGTGGTATGAAAACAAATATTTCTCCTTTATCTTTTTATAGGGATCTGCTGTTATCTGGAGAAACTTGAAGTCAGATGGAACGCCCAGTGCACGTGCAATACATTCTAGTTGTCCGGTCATAACTGGATCACGATGGAGTAAGTTTAACGATAAGATTTTCAAAAATGTTTAAAGTATTAGATGAGTCCAATTGCTTGCAATAAAAGGATTTTCTTGTTATTCTAAATTACTCTTTTAAATAATGATGTCAAATTCTAATGTTATGTCAATATTTTTTTCTTATATTTCAGCAATATACAAGCATGTACTCTACAATAATCAACTGTTTAGGGAACCTTGTGAAGCACGGTGAATTTATACTATACTGATGGACTTAACAATCTGTGTGAATGAGTGATGAAAGGAAAGAACAATTTTGTTTTCACGTAGCTTTTTTTTCGGTCATTTATGAAATAACTCTAACGTGATTGTATCAACGTTATTTATTATCATTTTTTATATTTGATTATCCACGTAATTACTTTGAATGTGCTTGCGTTGAATTGATTTCGATTTGTCCATAGCATGGTAATGTTTTGAAATATTGAAATATCTCGAACAAAATGTCTCAGCGTGTATAAAGCAATTCATTATAAGTACCGGAAAATATTGAAGCTCACCTGCATCGACTTTTCTCTTGACCGGTTGTCTCAAATTCAGTTAATTCCGAAGAATTAGGATTGATTAAGGTAAGAACATACATGCAACACATCATGTACCGCCCCTTATGGACCACAATAGGTTATAGCTTTGCACGAAATTGTTGGTATTTTGACGGCGTCATGTGGCCATTATTATGCTATATCTCATAAATATTTTAACAGAAAAATAACTACGTGTTTCCGTAAATATATGGTAGATTCTCGAAGAAGTTGTAACATGGAATGTTTCTGTTACATGTTATAAACGCACATGAACATAGTTTGTAAACAGAATAAAATGTTTCGGAACAAAAATATTATGCTTTTGTTATATACTTATAAATGAAATATTGAGAAATATTAATGAAATAAAATGCGTGTTTTCTTTTTTCGTATTTTCACTGTAAAAAAAAATATTTTTCACTGCAGTGAAACATATTTACCGTATTTTCACTGGTGTCTTGCCAGACAACTTTCATCTAAATTCAGCCAATACACACAATTTAAGGGGAAATCTTTCAAAATGTAATATCAAAAAGAAAAATGTATATAAAAAAACAGACAATTCCAGAAATACATGACTTTTTTATCTTGTGGTATAAACATTATCATATTTCACTCGTGGCTACAGCCACTCGGGCCACTCGGGAAATATTTATTTTCATACCACTCAATGAAAATGAATCCTGTATTTTAGAAAAAAAAACTTGAATATCATCTATCTATTTTAATAAGGTTTTTTACCGTTTATCTACGATTTCGTCCATTCATAATTCAGACATTTCACAACAGGTATTTTGGAATGGAATGGAACTTTTAAAAAAATTAAACAAAAGTTTTGTAAACTACAGATATATAGCTTTTGTATATGTGTTTCTGATAACATCCACCACATCAAATGTTTCGGCGGTGATAAAAATATAACAAATTGAGTCACCTTGGTTGCTACAACTTTATTATTTTTTGTTACCACATGTTTGTTACTTAACAATCGCGCATCAGGTTCATACGAATTCACTATTATTTTACTAGACTTGTTTAATGATAAATGAACATCAAAGAATAACTTAGGATTACACGCTGAATCTTATTTCCTGTAAGTTTTTTATTTCAATTTCTTCTTTAATTAAGCAACTCCCTGATGAATTAAATATAATTCAAAACAGAAAGCAGAAAATATGCCAAGAATTCTAGACGTTATTATTTAGGCTAAAGTAACTTATATATAAATATTCTATACAGGTATTATTAATATTCATGTATATTTATCAAAAAATACAAACAAAAATAGTTTCTCGCAACCTGTTCTGTTCAATTTATAAGAAGAAAATATATTTTTTAATATTAGAATGTTTGTTAATAATAATTCTTGTTTTGCTGTCAGGGTATAGCTAGGAATAACTTTAATAAGTCATACGGTAATGTGCCACCTTTGTCCAAAATGTGATAAGGATAGGTTTCTTTTATACAATGGTAGAAAGCAAAATAGTGACATTTTGAATTTGGTAAAAGTCAATTTCCCTTCTGAATCAGTCATAGACAAAGATTGAAGAAGTTGTGTTCCTTTCTCGCAAACCAAAACTGTTTCATAACCCGGACGAATTGCGTTGGTGTTTTCTTCTACGCTGGAGGCCTCTTATCTGGAGTATACGAGAAGCGCGGATGTTTTACATTTATCAGACATTTAATAAATAAAGATTGAAATGAAAAGAAAGTAATGAAAAATATATTTAATTTGATGATGATCTGAACGGAAAACACAATTTCTGATTATACGAGGGGTGTATAAATATGAATGCAATTAGGCCAATATCTCGCTTCGAATCATGGACATGTGTCGCAAAACGGTCATGAAAGCTCTCGATAGAATACCTGTGTAAATCAGTTCAGTCTAGTTTTGACAATAGCTCGATTAACACTATATACTCGTGTATACTAAAGCTAAATGTCTCTTTTCACTGACCAAATACGGTCCTATATCAAGAACCACTGTATTCTTGGTATACAGGCGAAGGACATATTAAATGAAATATGTCGTGTTTATGGGAACTATGAACTTTCTCTTTCATCTGTCACACGGTTGTGTTAGAAATTTAAAAGTGGTGTGGATTCAATAAAACATGCACCTCATTCACGCCGTCCGAAAACTACAACTTCGCCAAAAATTGCAGACACAATAAAGTATTTGATTGCTACTGATGCAAGAAACAACTAGTTATATAACTAAATGCGTTGGTATCTCTGTAGGAGCCACTCATACAATTCTCAGACGTGATTTTAAAGTGAGAGGAATAAGAGCAATCTCCTTACAAAAGAGCAAAAACTTTTTCAGAAATAAGAAACGAATGATCCGAAAATTTGCACACATGTTATTGGTCTAGACTTTCATCAAATGGAACATTAAAAGGTTTAGATAGTAAGAAGTTGCAATTCATCAGCTATTTTTTATTGTTTACGATTGGCGATTTTGTTACCGATATTGCGCTAGATAGGAGTAAACTCGTGGCATGATAGAGCCAAATGCAAATACAAAGAACAACAAAAACAAGGAAAACCAAAACATACAAAAAATATTTTTTGGAACATAAACATGTATGAACTTTGGAAATTACTAATAGCTTAAATACCTAATACCCCAAAAATGTGAAAACATGTAAAGAAATATCACCAGGTGATCACAATCAAGTATACTGTTACATTTGTACAGTTATTCATCAGTTAATTGCTTTATTTTTCAAACATTAACTTTATACCTTTTTAGCAGTTCAAACAGTCAAACGAAAAACCCTTTTTTTAAAAACCCCTTACATAAAACTTATAAAAACATTATTTTAACATAAAATACTTCAAAACAAACCTTTTAAACATCAGTTACTTTGGGCATAATGAAAAATAAAAAACAAAAAATTTCCCCAGCATATTTTTCATTTTTTAACAAATATGCTAAAATAACTATAATTAATTTTAAAAACACACGGTTTTAAAACAAAAGGCCCCAAAAATTTTAAATTTTCTGGGTTTATTCGTTTTTTTTAAAAAGGGTTTATCCCCTTCTTTTTTGGGATATTTTAAATCCAGTTGGGACTATGCTTTTCCCCTTTAGGGGCATCTGACGGAACCCAAATGGAAAAAATTTTGTAAACATTTTTTTTATTTCCTTTTTAAAATTTTTTTCGTTATCGGATTTCCCTTTTAGGGGTTTTTTTTTGCTCTTTTCCTTTTGGGGCATTAGTTTTTATGGTCATTGGTCTGTATTGTTTTGTATTAATATTTACACGATTATATCTTTGCTTAGATATTTTGTTTAATGTAACCATGACAATAATTAGAATTTGACTCTGCGGATATTGCATTCTATATTTATTTACACTGTTAACATATAGGAATAGAGGGATAAGGGTAAGTTTTGGCGGGCAAAGTCCTCTGTATTGATTTTACTTCTGACCGTTCCAATGCGGCAGTCTTTTGTGTTTCTTCATATGTATATCTTTTGTTTGTAACATTTCTTATTTTGTGACACGTTCTGTAATGTCCCATCTTGATAATTGCGCAGTGGTAAGAATTTCCTTTCTATCTTCCCTCATGTCCAATTTAGTTCTCCCTACTGTTTTTGCTTACACCAAAACCCTTGTCACTTTAATTTCCGAAAAAGCATATTTGATCAGTATTTCACAACATGTTCTTCTTATTAAATTGATAATTGTAACAGTTATTGGTATGACCACTCATTCCTTCGGCGTTGTGCCTTCTCCCATTTATTGGTTTGGTGCCCTTCTGGTTGACCTATTTATGTTACTGGGTTGTGTCTGAGCTGCATGCTGTCGCCTTACCTTGTTGGTCTTTGTTCCCATTTATATATATCGTATATATAATATTTAATACATCTGTCCCTTTTTAGTATGGAACAATTATGCTGATAAAAGATAGACTGCACGGAAATATGTTTTAACGCTTCATCATGACAAACGTGGTGGACTAAAGTTTTTCTTACCAATGGCTTTCATATACTCTTCAAGGTTTTTAGATCTTTCGATCTTCCATTTTCCAGCGACATTCGCCATTGTACTAATATTATCGGGTTCCACGTGGCTTTTAAGATAATTACTTTAAATACTTTTGTTGTATAGAATTTCTTAAATTTTATACTTTATATTTTATTATGAAACACGGGTGCTCAATTTTGATTCCATTTTCTATTGTAATGTCTTCAAGCATCTTCAAACTATTGTTTTACAAAATAATGCACCTATGCTACCCTCTCCGAACTTTTACTACGGAATGCTGTCTGTTCGCCCTGCAGTTCAAGCAATAATGGAATCCCTGGTCTGTTTATATACAACGTCATGACAGAGAGTGTTTCAATGATGTACACCAGATTAACTCTAGTAAAACAAAACAGAAATGTAATCATTATCACATACACTATGTAACGGCAGTCTGAACTAAGTTCAATACTTGTGCGATAGAAATCCCACCTCATGCATTTTTACTGTATAAATTGTTGTCATGAAGTGCATGAAGAAAGGTGATTTAATTTCACATAAATTATCTCCTGTTTCATACTTTTCTCATTTCAGTGTAAAATAACCTTTTCCTAAAGAAAACCATAATTTTACTTTTAAAAAGTCTCGAATGTAACTCAAGTTACCAGCTTGATTCACCGCTACCCTAAGTACAAAAATAACATCTAGTCATAAGTATGTTCCAGTATTGTTTCAAAGTCACGCGAGATGATAAATATACAATCTACAAATTGGTTTGAAAACAATTGGGGAGCGGTGGCCTAGTGCTAAAGGTATCTGCCTCTCAACCCAGGGATCGTAGGTTCGAGCCCTTATCGGGTCACGACCATATTTCTTCATATGACACAAGTATATGACACAAGTACAGGTTGGTTCAAGGAAGCGGACTCGAAAGTGATTGAGATAAATTACATGTAGTATAAACAAGACATTCATTGTAGGCAAACAAAGGTGCGCCGCCTTGGAACGCTCGGAAGTTCAAGCACTACTGGGAAGCCTTGTAGTTAATATGGCTGCATGCCCTAGTAAATCTAATAAACTAAAATGCATGCACATATACCGCGAAAAATGTATCAATTGGCGTACATCCCCAGCTAAATATTTACATTTACTATGACAAAAGCTTAATTATTTCTCTTATTAGAAATTTTCGCGTGAGTGTATTGTTT